TTGATATCTTAATATTAAGATTATTATAACTTTATGATACATAATAATTTTTAATTTTAAAATTTTATGATTAATAAATATGACAATTGATTTATGATTTTAGAATAATTAATTAACTTATAGTTGTCTTTTAAGCTTAAGTAAATCTTAAGATTGATTTAATTATTAAAATTCTCATTTTTGTATTAACATAATGGTTTTAATTTATTTAATTAGATATATTAATGTTTTAAGAATTAAGTTTGAATTTTTATGATTTAATTAGTTTTAAATTTAAGATCATGAATTTAAATTTTTTAATTCATGGATTTGAGTAACTCTTTGGTAACTTAAAAATATTAAAATCTAATTTGATAAGAAGATTCTAATTGAGGTTTGACCTAAGTCAAGTTGATTTGTTAGATCGAGTCGACCTAGCCCTAATGGTCTTGTACAACCTAGCTTATGTAGCCATATAGAACCCAGCCCATTTGACAAGGTATGATATAACTTATATAGTTAGACATGATCTAACTTATGTGTGTTAGGATCAAGAGCACTAAGAGGGGGGGGGGGGGGGGGGGGGTGAATTAGTGTAGCGAAAAACTTTCGACGATTAAAAAACTGCGTTCGTACGATAAAAGCGATTTTGGTGAGAAAGCCAATTCATAAATCACTTTAACTTTCGATCAAGCGAGATGCAGCAAAGATATAAATGCAGTTTGCAATTTTGATAGAAATCATATTGTAAGCGCAAACTGAAATATGATGTTCGTACGAAAAAATTGATTTACGTCTAAACGATGATTCGTAAATCACTTGATTAAGCGAGATGCAGTTAAAGCAAAGATATAAATGCAGTTTGCAGTTATGATAGAAATCAGAATATAAACACAAACTGAAATATGATGTTCGTACGATAAAATCGATTTACGTCTAAACGCCGATTCGGAAAATGCAGAGCTTGAAACATGATCATAAATGCGTAGAAGGCAGTAAGATTTTAAGGAGGTTTGCAGTAAAGATAAGATGCTCAAAATAAATGCAAACCGAGATTTAGAATGGTTCGGTCAATCTTGACCTACATCCACTTTTGGCTTCCTCCACTGACGAGGTCACCGATGTCCACTAGAGGCCTTCCTTCAATAGGCGAAGGCCAACTACCCTTTTACAGTTTCACTCCTTTTGACGGGCTTAGGAGACAACCCTTACAGAATTTTCTTTCCTCTCTTAACAGATTAGAACTCGGAAGAAAAGAGGAAGGAAAACTTTCAACTCATACAACACTTTTGAGCTCTAAAAATCACAAGTAAAATCAGAATTTTGGTGGTTTTTGGATGCCTTTTCAGTGCTGAAAGGGTGGGGTATTTATAGGCCCCAAACCAGTTTGAATTCTGAGCTCAAAATTGTCAATTCTCGGAATTCCGGGGTCTGGCGGTTGCACCGCCTGACTGAGGCGGTTGCACCGCTTGGCAGAGCTCGAAGACTGAGCCTCTGGGTGGTGCCACCTCCTGTCAGGGGCGGTTGCACCTCCTGCCAGAGCTTGAAGACCGAGCTCAGGCGGTGCCACCTCCTGTCAGGGGCAGTTGCACCTCCTGCCAGAGCTCGAAGACCGAGCTCAGGCGGTGCCACTGCCTGACTGAGGCGGTTCAACCGCCTGGCAGAAATCAGGGTCCGAATGGGTTGATCCATTCGGCCCAATTTTGGTTTTTCAGGAGCCAAATTGCCCCAAGATTAAGTTAATGGGATCACCTCCCATTTCTAACTTAATCGTTGTGCTAACTACGATGTTTCCTAAGACATTTACTGCAACTTGCTCCGGTGCGTCAATCGCTTCTTCCGGCGAGCTTTCGACGAACTTCCGTCGATCATCCGATGAACCCTCGGTGATGCTCCTGCGGACTTCTAGCAAACTCCTGGACTTGCGACGATCCACTTGGTGAGTTCCGACGAGCTTCTTTGGCAAGCTCCTGGACTTCTCGGATTTGTTCCCGTAGAACCTCCAACGACCGTCCGAACTTCCGTCGAACTCTCGAACTCCCAACGTGTTCATTGTCTTGACTCCGACGCAACTCCTACTGCATATCTTACTTTCATCAAAGTTAAACCTGCACACTTATCTCAACATATAGATTAGATAACAAATGACAATTGACTTCATCAAAATCCGAGATTCAACAATATGGCTATGTACGACACAACCCATATGGTAAGGTATGATCCAACTCATGTGGTCAAGCATAGTTCAACTCATTTGGTCAAGTACAACCCAATTTATGTGGTCAGAGTAACAACCTTAATTCATGTGTTTACACATAAACCAATGAGCGAAGCGTGGCCCAATTCAATGGTAAGGCTCAACCCAATCCACAAAGTTAGACCCGCCCAACTATGTGAGTGGCGCTAGACACTACTAGTCATATGTGTCCTGCAAGTTAATCACGTGAGTGATGACACGTGTGACTTGACACGCAGTCTTTTTGCTTATTATATTTTGATATTTATTATTTTATATTACTTGTTGTATATTATATATATATATATATATATATATATATATATATATATATATATATATATATTGTGATGTCTTTCGATCTATGCAATGAGAATCTGTGCAATGTGATGTCTCTCTATCCGTTGTTGGCAGAGTACATCATTGGGGTGATGTATGACTTTGTTATCTTACTATTATATATATGTTGCATATAAATGATGTATGCTTTTGTTTATTATATAAGAAATATTATTATTGTTTTGATATATGAGTTTTATAATAAATCGATATATTATAACTTCATATTAGATTATTGATATTAGTACATGTTTCATAAATATTAAAAATTATTTTAATAATTTTTTAGAGATTTATACTGATGATTGTTGATATATTTATTTTCTGAATAATCTATAACTTTATAAAAGATTTGAGACTTGGATGAAAGAGATCTTTTCATCACTTATAGTTATACTAAGAAAATGTGATCTATTTTTTAGTTAATAAATTATTTATTATTATAAAAACAGATAGTTAAATTCAAGGATGAAAGAAAAAAAGAGTATTTTATATAAATTATGAATAATAAAATAATAATTTATTGTTTTTTATAAATTTAGGATGTGGCACACGGACGACGATTATGTTGGAGCTATGGAAGCGAGCGGAGGCACCATTGGATATGAGTGATAGTGATGATAGATGAAGTCGGTGAGTGGTGGTCGACCCACGTAGGCAACAGCCCGATTGGGTGTCACTACGATAGCTGCGCTCATTTGGGCACTGGACAACAGTGCTAACAGCAGCTGGTCTGATGAGGCACCCATGTATGTAGTGGAGATCGTGGAGGCATCTACTACTCACGATTTGGAAGGCTCAATTTTGACCTAAATTAGGTCAAAATTGATTTTCACCATATCTTTCCCTTTAGATTTTGACCATTTTATTAATTTTGACCTAAATTAGGTCAAAATTAAATTCTGATCTGATTTGGTTTTTTTTTTTCTTGGTTCTTGACTGGATTTTGACCTAATCTGATCTCTATTTAGCCGATCCTTATGTGATTTTGACCTAGTTCGGTCAAAATACTGATTTTGACAACCATTTGATCTTGACTTTGGTCAAAGTCTAATTTGATCTCGATCTCGATCATGGTTTAGATTTTAATTGCCGAATAGTGATTTTGACTAGGTCACTCTTCAAAATTTAATTTTGACTAGGTCAACTTTTTGAAGTTGATGTTGATGAAAATTTGATATTGTCATCTTCTATTTTTGATCAATTAAACCTAATTTTGAAATTTATGTTTTATTATTTTGACCTTGGTCAATTTTAAATTTTGATCGGACTTATATTTTGACTATAACTTGTTGGATTTTGATCGTAATTTAGGCCTAATTTACTTAAAATTTTAAGTTTTTGATTGATTTTGATCTTGATCAACTTTTATTTGATTGAATTTTAATTTTAATCAATCTTATATCGGCCAACTTTAATCTTGATTGAAACTAAGAACTCATCTTTAGGACAAGTCTTACGAGCTTAGTTTTTTTTATACATCGATATTATTATTTTCTTTGAATCCCATGATGTTGTTTTTATATACATTAAAAAAATATTATGAATAATATCAAAAGATATAAATTTTGATATTGCATGGGGGAGCTCGTGAGATGGATCTCCTTGTCCAGCAACGATGCGTCGCCTTGGAACTCGATCTTTGACGTCGTCTCGTTGTCGAAACCGGAGAAGTTGAAGGAGAGCGAGCTAGCCATGGGGATCACAGTCGTCAGGCAGACGACGAGAAGAGACAAGTTGCTGGATCTCCTCAGAAACATGGCTGTGGCACGAGGCAGTGCAGGATGCACGTGATGAAGCTGGTAAAGATGTTCTTCAGCTATAAAAGCCTCAAAACAATAATAAGCTTCGTCTGCAATCGGTTTTCCTGATGCTTCATGATGACATTCCAAGAACCTGTCATCCACTGAACATGCTTTACGGTCAAATCAACGAAGAAACAGGCGTTCTTTATGTTGGGAATTACATGCACGTTGTTTTCGGTGTCACATCTCTCCATATCCAACTTGCGATCCGATGAAGGAGGGACACGCACTATGTCTAATATATGATGATCTTTATTCTTCATTTCTTGGGCGTGAGTAATGCTCCTCCTTCCTGCTTTAAATCTACTCAATCTGTAAAGTCAACTGACAGATATAATACATTGAGGAACGAAAGAGAATGGTAACTCTGTACTACAAGAGAAAAGAAAAAGCACAAAAGAAGAGGTGTACTGCTTTGTACAATAAATTAAATATGCAAGCATATATGTCAAGTATGAGCCTTTTCTGATTGGGTTGGTCCAATTAAAAGAAATATTTTATGACATGAATGAAATATAACAAAGGTATTTTATATTAGATTAATGAATTTATTTAGTCTTTATAATTTCATTCAGGTCTTCTCCGACAAGCTTTTCTTTTTCTCCAAGAAAAGAGGATGATGGACGATGGATTTTCGTGGTGAAGAGATGGAAATCTAATGCCTGCATGATGAACAATGTGGATCGATTACAAGTGCTTCGTTCCCACCACACACCAAGAACAATTAAATCTGCATGATGCAGGAACGAAAACAAACAAATGGCTACAGCAATTGCGGTGGAGATCTGATACACCAGTTGAGCAGGCAACTGTTTCTCGGGTCACAATGTGGGCAGCATCATCTGCAGCGGCGATCTTGCATGGACCTTGAAGCGCTTCGCGACTGCTCTCAGCACCACCCCTGCAACCACCTCATGCGGTCATTTCCTCAACTATACGAGGAAATCTCTGGAAATATATCTCTATTCTGTTGAGGGAAATTCTCTATTCTGTTGAGGAAAATCCTATCCTCTCTTCTAATCTGTATAAATAGTAGAAGGATATGCTAATGCATTCAAGCTATTTTACTTCTTCAATAAAGCTTCAATAATTCTTATCTTCTATTATTTCTATCATGGTATCAGAGCCACTTGCCTAGAGCAAGCTCTCTTCTCGCTGCCGACTCATCACTATTGTTTCTCGCTACCAATTCATCACTGGTGCGACAAATCTTTCCTCCTCGGCGAACGACAACTGTCACCAACACTACCCCACCTTTCTTTCTCGTTGTAGCTATCTCCTACCTCTTCTGCTACAGCTTCCTCCTCTATTGCAGTTTCCTCCTCTGCTGTAGTAGTATCACTGCAACATTACTGTAGATTTCTCCTTTACCGTCGCAGCCGTCGTAATCGCAACCACGACCAACGTCGCTAAGAAAAGCGAAGCTTCGCTCTTTCCTTCGGCCAGCGACCAACTGTCACAGACAAACTTCTAAACAAGGTGTTGGATGCAATGCTCACATATGTCCGTGTCTTTTGGCATTTTCATGCCTTGTACAGCATGTAGAGGGGCGGCCGAAGGCTTATAGTCCTATTTTAGTAGGGTTGGTGGCCTCTTTAGGCTTGTAAATAAAGGTTGTGTCATGTGGACACGTACGAGTGATTCTCGGTCTGTAATGGACCATTTTACCCCTTTGTTGTGCAACTGTTCCGAGCTTGTAAAGTCTGTCTGTAATTTGCATTGTCTATGAAGTGTTTCATGGAAGGTTTGCTTGTGGATCCCGAGTGAGGCGTTTTCTCTAACCCGTTTTCTCTTTTATAGGTCCTAAGGGACCGTGGGAGGTTTCGGGGAGGCTGACCTTTGCGGATGGACACGCAAAGGTGCCGCACGACTTAGGCAAAATCAGCTAAGGTCGTGACAGATGGTATCAGAGCGGGACAAGCACTCATCGAAACACTTGGCATGCAAACGTGGGGGACCTAGACACGTGCGACCGTTTTGGGGAAAACGGACATGGAGATGTAGGGATAAGGAGTCACTCAGAGGGGCGGGCATCCGAGATTGGCATTCAGAGGAATGGCCAACCCTTCGCGCGAGAGGCACCACGAGGACAAACAAGTTGGGAAGAATGTGGAGCGCACAAAGGTTGGGATGGTTGAGTTCGAGCTATGGCTCGACGTTGACAACAACACTTGATGGTGCTCAAGGCAAGCACAGCGCTTGGCAAAAGATGAGACCATGCAAAGTGGAATGAGTTGCTCAACGACCGAAAGAGTTATGCAAAGCTCACAGAGGTGAGGGGAATTGCTAACTCGAAGAATTCGATACTCATGCAAGGGCTTGTATGCGGATGATGGAATGTTCGTGGCCATCCCAAGGCGACCGAAACTCGGTGCCATGGAGCATTGAAACTTTCTCTTCGGCTTGTAAAAGAAGACGTCCGTAGGAGGCTGAAGTGTGCAGCAAGTTCAGCATGTTGCTAGGCCTTGAGTGGTGCAGCGAGGGCTGTATTGACGTGGAGTCGCAATCTAGCAAGTGCATTTGCATGAGGCAGAACAATGCGCAGCTTGTTCAGAAAATCGGAGTAGTCCAAGGGGATGGTGGTCTCCAAAAACGAAGAGAGATGTTGCTCCAACGGGATAGATATTCAGGAGGGATAAGTCCCGGCTCTCCAGAGGGAGAATCGTGTGCGACGGACTGCACATGTTGAGGAGTATCTCAAAAAACACAACTCCACGAAGCTCAATGGACCGAGCGAGCGATGAGGAGTCGTCGCATGATCTCGCTTGAGAGAATGCATTGGTGGATGCATTGCGAGATCAAGTGGGGGAGCAACCTAAAGCAACACAAACGAAGGCACACTTGGAGTCGATATGGAGATCGGACTCAAGGGAGGGCTGACCCGTGGAATGGTGGGCGCGAGGGCCACCATCAACTCAATGCAAAAATGAGGAGCGGAGCAACTTGGGTGTAACTTGGCGAAGTACCTAAGCCGCTTGAAGGGAGTCAGCATAGAAGATGGAACATGGAGCAGAGGCACAATGCTTTCCTTGGACATAGGTCAAGGACATGAGCTCTTACAGAGGCAAGAGCAGGATCATGTTGTTCCATGGGTCCTTCATTCTGATGGAACGGACTCATCTGGCATGGTGCCAAAGACGGAGGGAGCCTCTAGGCACATGCACATTATCTCGAAGAAGCATTTGATGGAGGAACTAAGGCGACTCAACTTGCGGAGGCGAAGTAGGGTTCAAGAGGCCTTAGCACGGGGCAAGAGGACGCAGAAGCAGGTACTCTTGAAGAATATGCCACAGCAGTGCCATTCAAGTTGCTTGAAGGAAGCGGTGCGCAGCGGAGATTGTGTTGGTAGGGGCAGTGGCCCAGGATCCAGACAATGGTGCACAAATTGCAGCGAAGTCGGTGGACTTCGGGAGCTACTAGGCAATGGACTGTCCTAGAGCGGTGCTTCATCTAGGTGTGACCCAAGAGTGGGTGGATGAAGGTCGATTGCTAAAGGAGCGAACAAAATGGAAGGTGAAAGAGACCCTGCGATGTATTGGCAGAGGCCACACATGGAGGGTTCACAATTCGAATTCATGCCGCAAGGATCAGAATGCAATGGAGATGTCACCAGGAGGCGACATGGTGCAGCGGATCGTGGTGGAACAGTTCGTGGCAATGCGACACACACGACCTCGCCCCGTGAGGGACAGGATCATACAGAGGTATGATCGGGAGCTGCTGGAAGCTCCACTTCGGTGAACAACACGACGACAAGAAGGGCTATGGATTCAAGGAGTGAAGGCCATGGTACCGCAGAGGCGGGTCTTCCGTGCGTGCATCGAATTTTGCATCAGATGAAAGCCTTGGTCATCAGCATATGGGGGCTGTGTTCCACCAAGGGAAAAGTTTGAATGCAAGTACCAGTGAGTCCCATGGGAGGGACTTGATCATGCAGAGGTATGATCGAAGCAACTGGAGAGTTGGATTGCTCCAGAGCCATATTCGCTTAAGGGAGCCCGACAAGTCAGAGGACAAGGTCGAGTAAGCGAACGTTGCTACCAAGGAAGCTAAGGAGAACAGAATCGGTGCAAATCCTACAACGTGATGGCAGAGGCCATGCATGGGAGTTGCAGTCTGTCTTTTCCATCGACCAAAGGGATCTGCTTGGAGAACACAGAAGTGTTGGGGCAGGGGAGGTCGAAAGGGGCGAGGAAGCGACGACGAGTCCAGAGGGACTTAGCTACCCAAAATCAGGCATCAGTTAGAATGGAGGTGGACTCGGAGGAGTGCCACGGAGACATATCTACTGATTATGAAGAAAAGGGATGCAGATGCGAGACGACGGATAGTAGGGCCATGGGCATGGCAGCGCCATGGTACCGCAGAGGCGGGACTTCCGTGAAAGCAATTGATCCCTTGTTCTCATGGAGGGAGAGCGCTTGGTCGTGAAAGGGGCCGAGGAGGTGGAGCATGCAGAGGCAATCTCCAAGTACCGAGACAAGGCTGAAGGGCAGAGGCCAAGAAACTTCGTAAGACCGGTGTCAACGCGCTTCTCATCAAGATAGCCGAAAGTGAAGGACTTCGGGTTATGCAAGAGTGCACGACCAAGGAACGAAGTAGGCAGTACGCGGTGTTGTGCCTTTGCTACTCAGTGGAGTAGGCGGCAGGGTTGATGGAGAAGACGGTACAATCCCAGAGGCGACCAAAACTATCAGAGACTTACTCCAAGTTGGGGTGAAAACTTCCGGCATTCCAGAAGTTCAATGGCGTTGAGAAGGTGAATCACAATAGCTAACTCAATGCAAGGAGTGCAAACACTTCAAGTGCTTCAGAAGTGTGAGCAAAGAGCAGGCGAAGGCCAGTAACCAGCTCGATGCATGAAGTACAACCTCGAGGAGGCGGGCGAAGTCAAGTAACCTTTGCCTTCTCAACTCTTAAGAGAATGGGCGAAACCAAGTACCCTAATTCTCTTATCTATCCAGCAGAGGAGCTCTGCATAAGTTCAAAGACCCTTCGAAGATAATGAAAGATAATAGTTGTCAAATCCTCACCAACGGTGATCAGTGCAACTGAGAGTAGATTGTCCGCTTCATTTCCCAACGAATTACCAATCGAAAGCGGAAGTGATGCAAACCTACTTGGATACGACAACTAAGTGAAGGAAGAGTCAATGGACAAATTTTATGGAGGAAGGACCCAAAACTTCAGAAGTTTGCGAGACGATGCTCGTTAAAGCTCCAACAAGCATCCATCCAGTTCAAGCAGCATGTGCAATTTTGAGAGACTGGCGCAGTAAGGATGGCCTTTTCCTTCATTTGGCGGATCCGCAGGAATCAACAAGGATTAACACAACTCAGCCAAGCCCCACACCAGAGTCAGAGTCATTGGTGAGTTGAAGCAGCATGACGGATCAAAGGTTCGACTACTCAAAAACAGCAGCGGAGAGCAGCTGGGAGCCAGGAGGCGCATTGCAGCTGGAGCAGAAGATTGAAGACTCAGGCAAAGGCGAAGAGTTGCAGTGTTCACAAAGGCTTCGACGAGGACGTCGAAGGAATAAGTGGGGGAGAATGTCACGGACAAACTTCTAAACAAGGTGTTGGATGCAATGCTCACATATGTCCGTGTCTTTTGGCATGTTCATGCCTTGTACAGCATGTAGAGGGGCGACCGAAGGCTTATAGTCCTATTTTAGTAGGGTTGGTGGCCTCTTTAGGCTTGTAAATAAATGTTGTGTCATGTGGACACGTACGAGTGATTCTCGGTCTGTAATGGACCATTTTACCCCTTTGTTGTGTAACTGTTCCGAGCTTGTAAAGTCTGTCTGTAATTTGCATTGTCTATAAAGTGTTTCATGGAAGGTTTGCTTGTGGATCCCGAGTGAGGCATTTTCTCTAACCCGTTTTCTCTTTTATAGATCCTAAGGGACCGTGGGAGGTTTCGGGGAGGCTGACCTTTGCGGATGGACACGCAAAGGTGCCGCACGACTTAGGCAAAATCAGCTAAGGTCGTGACACAACGTCGCTAAGAAAAGCGAAGCTTCACCCTTGCCTTCGGCCAGCGACCAATGCCGTTACATTCCTAAGAGGCTATGTGGTCAATCCTCATCTTTCTCACCGCGGTAGTCTTCGCTGATCTACCAACATTCTATGGACTTAAGGAGAATGAAGGGAATGCCTATGCCATCATAACAACAACAATCGCAGTAGCAACGATCTGCACTTATCTTATTCATGAAGCCTCTCGCTTGTAAACCATTCTTTGCATTGATCCAAGATTGATATTCTTGTCAGGAGCACCATCTTGCGGGGGCATGATAGAAGATAAGATTTCCCCAACTATATAAGGAAATCTAATTTTCATCCTCTATTCGGAAATCCTTTCTCCTAATTTGTATAAATAGGAGAGGAACATGTTAATGTATTGAACCATCTTCAACTATCCAATAAAGCTTCATTCAATATTTATTTTTTATATTCTATTATTTTTATCATGATATCAGAGCCACTTGCCTAGAGCAAGCTCTCTTCTCGCTGCCGACTCACTGTTGTTTCTCGCTGCCAACTCATCACTGTTGCTTCTCCACCTCCGACGGTAAAAGGTTTTCTACCATTGCTTTTCCATCGTTAGGCCATCGATGCGATAAATCTTTCCTCCTCGACGAACGACAACTGTCTTCTCCACTGCCACTCAGCGCCAACGTCTGTTCCCTTCCGCTGCGGCGTTTCTAGTGCTACGCACACTAGCACTTCCCCACCTTTCTTCCTCGCTATAGCTACCTCCTACCTCTTCTGCTGCAGCTTCTTCCTCTATTGCAACTTCCTCTTCTGCAACTTCCTCCTCTGTTGTAGTAGTATCACTGCAACATTGTTGTAGATTTCTCCTCTGCCGTCGCAATCGCAGCCGTCGCAATCACTGTTGTCGCCGTCATAGTTGCAGCTGTCGTCGTCGCAGTCGCAGTCGTCGCCGTCATAATTGCAACCGCCGCCGCCGTAATCGCAACTGCTACCATCGCAGCCGCAGCCATCGCCGTCGCAGTCGTAGCAACAACAACAACGATCGCAGTAGTAGCAGCGATCTGCTCTTGTCCTACTCATGAAGACTCTCGCTTGTAAACCATTCTTTGCATCGATCCAAGATTGGTATCCTTGTCAGGAGCACCATCTTGCGGGGGCATGATAGAAGATAAGATTTCCTCAACTATATGAGGAAATCTCTCTATTCTGTTGAGGGAAATTCTCTATTCTGTTGAGGAAAATCCTATCCTCTCTTCTAATCTGTATAAATAGTAGAAGGATATGCTAATACATTCAAGCTATTTCACTTCTTCAATAAAGCTTCAATAATTCTTATCTTCTATTATTTCGAATTATTTCTATTATTTCTATCACTAAATGCCAAGATTTTGTACTACGGGGATGAAGCATTACCAGTTTAGGAGAAGGAACCAGAGAGAAATCTAAGCTCTTCCTAATAGCACTCGGCCTCTTCTTCCGCTTCTTGTATGTGAGCTTTGCTTTCACTCTTCGGAGTGTCACTGGAGATCTGGCTAAGAGTTTCTTCCGGGCGTCATCGATGCCGCGGGGGAGCAGGGGAGACCATATCCCGCTCTGGGAGTAATCGAAGTCGAAGGCGGAGTTGTCCGGGAACTTGCCGAGGAGTTCTCGTGACATGGTCGGCTCCAGGTACTCCACCGTGACGACGCGCTCCGCCACCATGGCTCGACACTATCATCAGCGGAAACGGGGTCTGGGGGTGGCTTATGGTGGTGAGGGGGGAGATGGAATGGGTTGCAAGGGAAGGAGATAGAGAGAGAGCGGATGGCGAAGAAAACAGAGGTAGAAGTGACCGTTGAGACTTGGCATGGTTGTCTGTGTTAGCGTTAGGGGAAATTCGACCGTTGGGACTTGGCATTTAGCTTTGAACTTGTAGGAAGATTGACCTACACCATTTTCTTTGAGAGACAACGTGGAACCCACCGCAAAGGGTCCCGTTTTGCTCCAACAGTGAGGCAGGTAGGGAGGACGGGTTCGAGTTAAATGGTTATATAAAATTATATAGCTTGATATTAATACGCACAATTTTTATTTTATTTTAACAAAAATGATATCCGGTGGAAATTTTGATTATTCGAGTTGGTCTTCCCTACTAGTAGAAGTATGAAATCATGCATGACGTACATGGAACAGCTCAATTATCTCCGACGATGACATTTGGGAAGATTCAAAGAGGACTTTCTGTTTATTGGGTGATGACCGTCGCCGTGGTTGATCAATTCCAAGAAGAAAAAGAGTGAAAGGACATGCATTTACTAATCCAATTAATTAGACTGGTTGGTTGGACTTGGAAACATCGATTCCCCCAACGCTACCTATTTGAACTCCCATTCACCACCTCCCCACCAATTTGCGTCCTTCTTCCTCGAACTTGTCAGCCATGACGACCTTGTGTAGATCTTGGGTTTTCTCTACCTTCTACTGCTTGTCATTTGCTGTCCCCTTGGCAACCTCTCTCTCCTTCAACTTCTCTTCTTTCGATCAATCCAGTCTATCCAAAATCCAACTACAACGGGATGCATACGTCGCCAATGATCGCATTCAGCTCACCAAGAATCAGCTGGACGGCAGTCTCATCAGTAGCGGGGGTCGAGCAGTGTACGGGGAGCCGTTGCTCCTGTGGGATCCTGAAACCCGTGAGCTGACTGATTTCACCACTCGATTTGCCTTCGCCATCAATGGTCTGAATGCATCTCTGATCGGCGATGGTGTCGCTTTCTTCCTGTCGTCGTATCCTTCTACCATCCCACCCATTTCGCTCGGCGGCGGCCTCGGCCTCTTCAACATCACTCCGCTTCCCGCTAACTCAACGATCAATAATACAGTGGCGGTAGAGTTCGATACGTATAATAACTCCTTTGATACATCCGCCAACCACATCGGAATCGACGTCAACTCCGTCATCTCCTCTAAGGTTGTGGATTGGCGAAGCAATATCACGGATGGTAGGGAGGTAAATGCTTGGGTGAGCTACAACGCCAGCACTCATAACTTGAGCGTCTTCATGACTTACGCTCAAGATGCAGGGTCCAGCAACTCCAGTCTCTCCTACGTCATTGATCTGCGGGATGTTCTACCAGAGAAGGTAGCAGTGGGCTTCTCCGCGGCCACTGGTAATAGAATCGAGACGAATGCCCTTCTGTCGTGGTCTTTCAACTCGAGTTTGCAACCAAAAACCACGCTGCCCGCTCCGCCTGCAGCGAAAAGGAAGAGCAAGATGGGGCTCGCTGTCGGTGGAGTAATCGGGGCAGCGGTCCTAATGGTTTTGTTGGGTTCGCTTGGTTTAATTTTGTGGAGGAGGAGGACCACTGGGAGGGATGCAGAAGATGAAGAGGAGCTGGAATTTGACCGGAACATGGATGACGAGTTCGAAAGAGAAAGAGGGCCAAAGAGGTTCGCTTACCAAGAGCTGGCCGACGCGACGAGGAATTTCTCCGAGGAGGAGAAGCTGGGCGAGGGAGGATTCGGATCGGTGTACAGAGGTTACTTGAAGGATTCGAAGCTTGAAGTGGCAATCAAGAGGATCTCCAGGGGATCCAAACAAGGAAGAAAGGAGTACGTCTCGGAGGTCAAGATCATAAGCCGGCTGAGGCATCGGAACTTGGTGCAGTTGGTGGGTTGGTGCCACGACCGCGGGGAGTTCTCGCTTGTCTACGAGTTCATGCCCAACGGAAGCCTCGATTCCTATCTATACAGCACAGCCAGGCTTCTCGAGTGGCCGGCGAGGCACAGGGTTGCGCTAGGCTTGGCCTCTGCGTTGCTCTATCTCCATGAAGAGTGGGAGCAGTGCGTGGTGCATCGCGACGTCAAACCCAGCAACGTCATGCTGGATTCAGCGTTCAACGCCAAGCTGGGAGATTTTGGGCTGGCAAGGCTGGTCGACCACGATCGCGGCTCGCAGACGACGGTGTTGGCAGGCACGATGGGGTACTTGGCCCCCGAGTGCGTCAACACCGGCAAGGCCAGCAAGGAGTCCGATGTTTACAGCTTCGGAATCTTGGCGCTGGAGATCGCATGTGGACGAAGGCCTGTGCAGCTGATGGAGCAGGCGAGCAAGGTGAGACTGGTGGAATGGGTGTGGGAGCTCTACGGCAGGAGAAGATTACTTGAAGCGGCCGATGAGAAGCTGGGTGGCGTCTTCGACGAGAAGCAGATGGAGTGCTTGATGGTTGTGGGGTTGTGGTGTGCTCATCCTGATTACGATCGACGGCCATCGATCAAACAGGTGATCAACGTGCTTAATCTCGAGGCTCCATTCCCGGAGCTCCCACCGTCGATGCCGGTGCCGATGTATTACGCGCCTCCCATCGAGGCGTACAGGTTCTCCTACGCATCCTCTGCTGCAGGAACAACGAGCGCGAGTTCTGCATCCACAGCCTGCGTTACCGACTCTTCCAACTTGAACATGTCTCGAGGATCATCGTCAACGACGTCGCACTTACTGAAATTTCAGTGATGCCGGCACCAAACACGCCGGTTCATATTATGATGTTATTTTTCAAAATCATAATGATGATGCTGTAAGAAGGCGTAAATGACAATAATTCATGATGATTAATGACGGTGGATGTTGATTTAATCTTAATGACGATGCTGTAAGAAGGCTGAATTCTTTTTATGAAATCTTAATGACGGTGGATGTTGATTTAATATTGTGCCAACGTATCAATCTTGATAATTAAAATATCTTCGTTAGCTATTAGAAGAATTCAGCCCAAACATCCGCACGCCGATCCTTCTCAACCAAGAATAAACTTCTGTATCCAGGCCAACGATCACGGCCACTACTCCGCAGTTGACCACCCCCAGCACATCTATCGTCGGCGACGCTGGCCCCAACCACTCCACCATCGTTGTAGTTATCTCATCTTTAAAAAAAAGAGAGAAAAGAAGAAGAAGCCACTGTCGCACCACCATCGTTGCCTCGCAGCCCTCAGCCGCAACGATCCCTCCACATAGTGACCGCAACAAGCATCGCTGCCTCCCACGTAGCGACGACAGCTACATCCCCACATCCTTGCAATAATCCTTCGTTCTCTTTTCCCCTCTTTCTTCAATGATAAAATCTTAGGATCTTATTATTTGGTATTATAGCATTTTATGATAAGAATTCATCCCATCGAAAGCATAAGGTCAAATATTTTTAAGATGCATGAGTTGAGAAGATCTGGCTCGTATGATGAGAAATCCATCATGCCAAAGGTATAAGGCCAAGTGTGTTCAAGGCTCGTGAGTCAAAAAAACCCGACCCATACAAAGAAAGATCCACCTACAACAGAAGTACAAAGCAAAATGTGCTCGAGACGTAAAAGTTGAGAAACTTGACTTACATAAGGAGATCTACTATGGTAAAAATGTAAGGCAAAATATGCCCAAGACATGCAAGTCAAAAAAATCGATCCATGAGAGGAGATCTCGAACGCTCTCATGTGGTGTCCAAAGAGGGAAAGATAATTGCAAGTTTTTTTCATGATTTTTATGATGAAAAAAGTAATCGTAAGCTTCCTTCTTATCTTTTATGATTAAAAAAATAATTATAAGCTTCCCTCTTGCTCTTTATAATCAGAAAGATAATCATAAGCTTTTTTTTTTCCTTTATGACTAGAAAGAGAATTACAAACTTTCTTTTTATCCTTTATGACCAAATATAAATGCTTATCTTTAACGTTATAAAATGGGAGAAACTTATTTTTTTGAGGACTTAGTTTCTATACTCAAACTTTAGATTTCTAACTTAAAGCATACGAGGGATCGACTTAGGAAACCTCTCCTAACCTCGGTCTTCATGTATGTGACGCCTCGAGAGCTTAACATTTTCACCTTAAACAACCTTATAAAAACAAGTTCGATCCATGTCAAGCTAACCAAGACATCAACAACATTTTCCCTTAATAGCATATATCACTATTCACCAAGTGGAGAAGGAAGACATAATCATAATCAAAGATAAAGATAAGAGTTAAGGTTTATTTTAGCCGATGTGATTTTGGACATAGATCACTTAAGCCATTATGGTTTACTCGTGTCTAAAATAACCCTTATATTTTTTAAAACATAGCATATAAGCCTAACTCGTCAATCCTAAGTTAACAAATATTAAAGTCTACTTACGAGGTATGCTAACTCATAATAAACTATTAATATAATAACACATGTAATTTAAGTTGTCTATTTTAATATTTATGATTTTAGTCATATAACATTTTGTTGAATCTCGTATTTTGATGATGAAACCACTTGATATATGCTTATGATTTAATCTGCGTTTTGAGTGACGCAGGATGCTTCGATTAGGATGAGACAATTAAAGCAGGAAAATCATGTTGGGCCAGAGGAACATGTCAGAAGATTAGACGTCGGGCCGGTGGATTAGTCGACGTATCGACAGAAGGCTTCGGGCCGTGGATTCGGGCATCGGGCCAAGAAGAGCGGGTATTGTGCCAAGGATATCGGAGTTGCAGAGTCAACTGGCCGATTGGGCAATAGGCCGCACGAGAGGACGATGCGCCGAAGAATCGGACGAAGCGTCGAGAGACCAATGACATACCGGACAACGTGATTAATGCTTAGTATTAATTGTCTCGATCGAAGTTTTGTTTTACATGTGCAGGATTAACTACGATGGAAGTAAGACATGCAGCAGGAGTTGCGCTGGAGTCAAGACTATGATCAACGTTGGGAGTTCAAGAGTTTGACGGAAGTTCGGACGTTCGTCGGAGGTTTTGCGGGAAC